ACTTACCGAATATAACTGATGTAATACTGTTAGTTCTGAAAGAATATTAATGTGCTTTTTAAAGTTCGTGAACTGAATTAGTGTACTATTGCAGTTATTGAAGTAAATCGATGGACTTTTGAGATATTAAATTACTGTAATACTGCGTTAATTGAAATTTGATATTAATGTTTGTATTATTGAACTTAGAAAAGGTGTTATTGTAGTTCATCATCATCAAATGCCTTACGGACTGGCGTTGGAGATCATGCCATTCCGAAATATGCTATCTGCAGCTACGTTCGTGTGTTAACTCCCCTTGATGCTATGACAGAAGGCTGTCAAGAATCTTCTCGCATTGTCTCCCCCTGTCTCTGTTTCCACAGATCTTTCTAGTGGACAGATGTTGCAGGACGATTGTGTCCCTTGTCTCAATTAGGGTTTCCCCTAGTAATATAAGACACTCTGAAGTGAAATATTGTTGTGATGGGAGCTCGTATTAGTCTAGGCTGTACTCCGCAGCTCCAGCAACCACCCAACACCCCTTTAGGGATGAGGCAACTCAAGTATTTAGCACCACATAAGTTCCAGAGATATTAATAGGCACAATTTGGCTGGACTTCCTCACCACTTAAAAGTTAACAGACTGAATGAGATCACGATCAAAGTCAAGATTTTTAAAAAATATTACCAAGAATACACACACAGAGATCTAACTAAAGTGAACTGTGAAATACCAGACACCATAAAAGGTAGGTTGAGAATAACAATGTATGATGTAATAAGTTCCAAGCAATATACTTTCTTACTTACTTAGTCGCCCGTCTTCTACCTTGGGGTGTAGAGGTTTGCCAGAGAGATCGCCAGACTTCTCTACCAGCAGTTTTCTTTCTGGCTTTGATTCATTCCAGTCCTCTATCAACTAGGGACTGTCGGATGTTGTCTTTTCGGCGGACCCTGGGTAGCCATGGAGGTCTGGTTCCCTGGTTCTTAGCCTCTCAGGCCTGCCATGGTGGCCGATTTTCTTCCATTCTGCATACAGGTCCACACCATCGTAACTGTGACTGATACACTCGGGTTTGTAAGCATTGGGTATCAAGATCTTCACGTATTGTCTGATTGCGGACTTTGTCCCTTCTTGTAATTTGCACCACCTTTCTCAGATATCTCATTTCTGAGGCCTGAATGCGGTCAATATCGAGGCATCTCTCTTTTAAGCCATGTTGGCAAAATGTATGCCAAGATAATAGAAACAAGACTGAGACCAGTGATAGAACCACAGCTGGCAGAAGAACAGATAGGATTTAGGAGAAATAGAAGCTGCACAGATGCAATCTTCACACTTAAACAGTTAATAGAAAAGAACATTAAATACAATAAGAACTTATTTGTGGCATTCGTAGACCAGGAGAAGGCATTTGACAGAGTCGACAGACAATTACTATGGAAACAAATGGCAAGATATGGAGTAAGCGAACACCTCATCGAAGTGTTCAAAAGTTTATACAGGGATTGTAGAAGTGTAGTTAGAATAAATCAGGGAACATATCATCCTTTCACAGTGACATCTGGAGTAAGACAGGGGTGTGTCTTATCACTACTGCTTTTTACACCTACATCGACAGTATATGCAAGAATGCCAAGCCCATGAATGAAGATCTTAGAAAGATCAACGAATTACTCTTTGCAGATGACCAGGCCTTGATAGCAGATACAGCCATGAAATTGCAACAACATCTAACATCCATGAATGAAGAATGAAAAACAACTAATATGAGAATCAACACTAAAAAGACAGAAGTAATGTCAATAGGAAAAACAAAGACAGATCTAAACATAGCAATAGAATACAGACATTAAACAGGCATCTGAGTTTAAATATCTGGGAACTACATTTACCGAAGAAGGGAAAAGAAATTGACATTAGATGCAGCAAAGCAAACCAAGTATTGGGACAGCTAGCCCCCCTCTTACAGCATAAGACAATCCCAATCAGCACAAAGAGACATCTTATTCAAAGCATATTTATTCCAACTCTGTGCTACCAGTGCCAGACATGGTCACTCACAACAAACCATAAAAGAAAATTAGTAACCACGGACTCACGAGCAGCAGCTACCGCATCTCCTGCAGCTTCCTTCATTTTATTTTCTCGTGAGTCCCAGCCATCGTGGGGGATACTCTCGGCTGTGGCGGTATAGTCCCCGGACGTTCGCAATTCGGTAGTGGCAGTATAGTCTCCGGAAGTATGCAACCGACACGTGACTGAGGCCCTGTTAGGGTATATTTTCGGCCTTGATAATTTGGGACCGTTATCCGGAGGATAGCTCTTACTCCCAATAGATTTAGGACTGAACATGGTTCCTTTACATAAATCCTGACCCATACTTATTAAACAAGAACTATTTACTAATAGTGGAATAGTCCATATTTGAATTCTGATAATTTGCATAGAGGTATACAGAGTGTGGACGTAACTACTAGCATAGGGGTGCTCTGTTGGCTACGTGACAACAAAACATGTGGCAGTTTCCTTCTCATAACATTGCCAAACAAATGATGACTTTCTCTTTCTGATGTTTTTGATGTTATGTTATCACAGTTGACGTCACTGCACATTGGGCATTTCCATGCCTGCTCAATATTTTGATGCAGTAGTCACTCCAGTGTACTTCTACTAATGTTCCTGTGAGCGGTTGGTTATAATGTTTTCTCTCTCTCGATCTCGAAGTCGGCGTAGACGTGCTTCACCATGCTTTACCCCTATGTCACGCAATCGTGTCAATGACAGAGATTCGTCATTATCTATTAGTCCATCCATACAGCGGTGATATCTGCTCTGTCCATGATTCTTCCCACATGCCTTGGCGCATCGCTTGCCAGTTGGTCCGCTCACTCATTGCCCTTTTCGCCAGCATAACCAGGTGTGTAGATCCGGGTGAGGGAAGTTAAGTGTGATTTTTTAAAGCTTTCTACCCAATCAGAGTGCATACCGCCCATTGCTATCTTCTGAAACATGTTCAAGGGGTCTGATAAAATTACTGCATGTGTGGCTGTTTTTTCTGCTGCCCATGCTAATGCTCTAAAAGCAGCGGTTATCTCTATGGTTATGCTTGACGTAGGTGCCTGGGAAGCGACGCTGTCATCTTTTATCGTTTTCCCCATCCTTTGTGATGTGTATGCCTATGCTGACCTTGATCCTCGCTTCACGGATACATCTGTATAGATGATGATGTCTTCTGTGTGTGAATGCTGATCTTTCCTCGGTGTCTACGGCCGCAGAAAATCTGATCCCTGCAGTAACTCCCCAGGGTGATAACAACCTTAAAGATGCCGTGCATACATACATGTGTATTCGTCCATTCTTTTCCGTGACTGATCTCATCTAGGACACGTACCTGCTGGATTAAATCATCAGCCTTAGTCATCCAGGAGCGACCGCTTTTGAGAAGTATTCATTTTGTGTTGTGATAGCTTTGTGCACCGGGTGGTTAACGTCTGCCGATACCCTAATGAACGCTTTGACCTGTGTAATTGTGGATCTGTTAGCCATAGTCGGCAAAACTGGGACATATCGCATAGCGTGCCAATAGGTGTCTTTTGTGCTGCCGAGTTTGAGTCTCATGGCCTTATTTTGTACTCGGTCCAGTCTGTCTAGCTGGTTTCTGCTGACAGTGAGGAGATCCAGACCATAGTTAATGACGCTTAATACCAGCCCTTGATAGAAAAGGGAAAGTAGGCGCTGTTGAACATCAGCTGCTGCTAACACCGGGAGTGCTGTCAGACTATTTGTGATAAGTTGTCTTCAGCCGCCGTCCCTTTCAAAACATCTGGGTTACTCTTTTTTGACTGTCCAAGGAGTTTTAAGGAGTTCTCTGTAAAACCACATCTCTGAGGTCTCAAAAAATTCGATGGCTTCGTTATTAATGTTCCAGGATTCACATAAGTAAAAAAGTCAAGGTCCCTTGTCCACGCCTTAATGCGTATTGGGCATATAGGGCTAGACCTTTTTTTTTTACAGACCAATCGGCACAAGATGGGTGATGTGTTCAGCTTCACACCGGCCGCCTCTACTTCACGGGACTGCACCCGCTACCCACTCAAGGCTGGGTCGACCTGGGAGCCAAGGTCATTTATGAAAAAAGTACGGCTCGGCCAGGGAAGGATTCACATTCATATGGTAAAACTGGCTCTATATAGCATGAAATCATTCTTTACCTAACCTCCAATGGCTGGCACAGAATGTTCGTCATTTTATAAAACGTATGTTATGTATTGTAGTCTGTGACTGTATTTAATATAATAGGGTAGTTGCGGAATTCGCGTCGTATGCTATATAGCTATTATATTAATTACTTAATGTACTTTTGCATTTGAAATCAATTAAAGTGATTTTTACAGTTATTTAATCATTTTTTTAAAAGTTCCTAACATAAGTTAGTAAAATTAATTAAGTAATACAACTATACCACAGCATATTATGAACACATAACACTATATACAAATGATTTATTTATAATGCTCCCTAAATACAGCACCAAAGATCGTATCATAATCTTTTGCTTCTTCTGCTTCGTATTCACTGGCTGTAAACTCCAGCGGAAAATTTTGGTTGTCCAGCCATTTTTAAAGTTTTGTCTTATTCCAGAATGTGAGTTGTGTGTGCATATCCATTTTACGTATAGTTTTGTATGCAGACAGCTGGTTCCTTGTCTCTCAGGCTGATACACTCCGACTCTGAAGGAAGCACTTCAGATTGGTCGTCATTTACGATATGCTTGTTAGGGGGGCAGTGGGTTTATCCTCCCCCCCCCCCCCCCCCCACCTCCAAATAGGACTCCAATACCCACACGGCGAGTTTCATGATTTAATAAACCTTCAATACATTTAATTGACATTTTAATCTTCTCCTCGTAATATCTTATGTGTTCTCTTTTCTGACCGTTTATATATACATCACATGAATCTTCTCGGTTGATATAAACAAACAGATATCCTGTATTTGTTTTTTGTTTTTATTTTTATTTGATAGGTATGTGTTTTCCTGTTCTCAGCAAGTCTGGTGTCAGCAATGCTGAGTATTCAAAATCGAAATCGCTATCTTTGCTCGTAAGTGCTGCCCAGATAGAACACTTTTCGTGACTATAGCGTTCTCTACACCACAGGAGATCATCGTAGTTCTCAACCAACATCCCTTTCTGGCTTGCAAGTTGAATAAAATGCACCCCTCCTATTGAAGCTGGGACCATCCCATACAGAAACACATCATCGATCCAGAAAAAGTCCATATTCCTGCCATGAATGTATATAGATTCGATCAAGTCTGGACTTATTACCACGAAGAACCCGGAACAGTATGGGAAATTGTAACTGGAGTCAGCGAAGATGTCTTTCTCGACCTTCCATTTGCCTGCTCGTCCAACCGCAGCCCTGGACCAGACTAAACAGTGAAGAGCTTTTTGTTTCCTGTCGTTGCCTACCCTTTTCCAATATCTGGTGAAAAATTTGCGAACGTCGAAGAAAACGTCGTCGTCCATTTTGATAAGAAGCTGGACGTCACGACACCTGCTTGACAACCAACGATAGCCCATGACAGCCTGAAATGAAGGATCAGAATAAGTATATAAACTTAGCAAATCAAGAAAAGGCATCTATAATAAGGCAACATTCAAATCATCATAAAAAATTAGCAGATTCTTTGCAGAACATCGGTCTCTTCACGGCACGCCTGAAAATCTCTTTCTCTAGCCAGTTCTAAAGCCCCGTGTGCTTTCCAAGCCTATCTATCATCAGTGTCTTGTACTGTAACAGAGAAGGGCCATTGCTTGTTTGTTAGGAGTTAGATTATTACGCAGAGCCGGAATGTACCGAGATCAACAAGTTTTCGTAATCTTTTTTTTTTCCTCCAAAACTAAAAATTGACGTCATCAATTTTTTTTGGAGATAGAATTTTGCATACTATTTGAGGAGAAGAAAGTCAACAAGTTTTAGAAACAATATTTTGTAAATAGTATTTGACATCACTGTTGTCGTGCCCTATCAAAGCAAACGCGATTGTACTTGTTTTCTAGAAGCTTCTATAACGTCAATTGTCAGTTTAACTACTATGTTTGCATAGAAAAGGATGATGAAATCTGATGCAATTGAGATATAATTAGCAAAGTCCCAGGTGAGAACGTACATAGTAAACAAGTTGAGACGTACTAGAATATTCTAGAAGCAGAAAGGGCGAGAAGAAAACAAATAACTAGCATTCCAGCATCCAAGTATAAATAATGAGTAACAAAGCAACTCAGGGCAATTCTTCATCCCACAAGACTCAAGAGAGGAGGGACCAGTAATATTTACCCTCGGAGCATGCCTTCAGTCGATGAGATTTAGAGACCAGGGAATAGTAACATGGACCCTCATAGAGCAGTCACATTTGTAGAGATGCCAGCTCAACACTAGAAGAACTAGCAGCCAGTCATATGGAGTCTCAAAGACAGACACTAGAGAAGAGACATGAAACAAGACATCGAGCTACAGAGACAAGACACAAGATACCTGGATCCATGGTTAACAGAGACATATTAGGAACACTATAGAGATGTTAGAGTCGACGATCAAGCCGTTAGTACCAAACAGCACTAGAAGCCAGGTGGCAGTTAGAGACACTAGAACCAGTTAACAAAGTAATTAGAGATAAAGAACACAATGCGACCTCAAGAGTATGAACACAACGCGACCTCAACAGTAGGTAACCATAGAGAGAACATAGCGGTCTTTTTATAATATTATTGATATTGTCTGTGTCATTGCTGAAGTATGACAATAAAGACAGTATAGACAAGAACAGTTGTTTCCAGACACCCTGTTTTACAAGCATCAGAGCCACGTGAAACGCATGCAGATAGTAAGGCATCATCATCACCACTATCGACACGACCATCTTTCTCCTCGTCTATAATCTTCCAATCGACTCCTCCTGTAGCAAAACTAAAGACGAACCTCGGTGTGACATCAGCAAACGCAACAAAGAAGAGAGCTGTGCTGCGGTGTGAACCTTGGCGGAGGTCTGTCTAGGCTGCGTTTTTCGGAAACTGTACTCTCCATCACCATTCTCCTCACGCCATCATGACGTTTAACGGTCACAATAACTTATCTTTTGCCACACGATGCTGTTCATGAGCCAATTCTCCTGGATGCTCAGATCGAATAGGATGTGGATGTTTTTCTTCTTCCTCTTCCATGCTATTTTAAGAAAACAATTTGCAGTCACAAAAACAGTCTGGGCTCCTGAACTTAAATGCTACAGGAAGATTTTTTGAGCATCGTGGACCAAGAAGAGGGGGAATACTAATGTTCTTCAGGATCTAAATACAGAGGAGGAACTGGCTCATATACTGTATTGTTTGTCTTCAGTTTGAAACTCCAAAATGGTTTAGAAAGAACACACAAGGATGTTATGGTTCCTGAAAGGAGAGGCAGATACTAACCAGCACGAAGGTGGACATGGGATATTAAGGTCACCCTGGGCATAAAGGTCTGGAGGACAATAATAGTCTTTCTACTGAAGGGCAGTAAAATTATTTCTAACGCTTTGTTATTAACAATTTTGTGCAAAAGGAGCTGCGCTGCAAGATGTTGTTATTGTTGACACCAGTAGATTGATGACTGGGACAGTCAGCGTGCAGCAGACATGACTGAGTTATCTTGTATCAGTAGTCAATAGCATTAGTTCTCTGATAACTCCCAGTGGTGAGCGGCGTATACCAAACCTGCGTCTTTCCAACAGATATTGTTAGGCTGTGTTATTTTGTCTACGTAGAATTATCAAAATTGTCTGGCCAGATACAATCTCAAACACTAGATTACTTCAAGTCACAAACCAAGAAACTCTAGTCAGTATGATAACCAAGAGAAGATGGAAATGGCTTGGCCACATTATGAGAATGAATCCTGATATACCTGCCAAAACAGCTCTCACATGGTCACCAGAGTTAAAGAGAAAGAAGGGGCGCCCAAAAAAAACATGGAGACGAACGATGGAGAGTGACCTGAATGCGGCATCTCTGGCATCGAAAATTGCACTGAAGATTGCACAGGACAGGAAAGCATGGAAAGTCATCTCTGAAGCCTCATGTGCCACTAGGCATAAAGAAAATTGATGATGATGATGTGTTATTTTAAAACATCGGATCACAGTCCGTAGCGATAGACAATTGAGGCCAGGAATGGTGTTTCTGTTCCTCTTCACAGCACAACACCTGAACGGTATAGCAGAGATCATGTTGCCAATGAAGTATGATACTTCGCTCAATCTGCCTTGCTTACTGCAAAGGAAAAGTAGCGCCTTCACTCTATACTGAGTGGCTAACAAACATACCTTTAATGTCAAGTTGTGATAAGTATCTAGGAATGACCCCACCACCGTGTCCCCATAATCTCTGTTCTCCTTCTCCAGCATTATCTCCAGGCTGGCGTTCAGTACTGAGCCAATCAGAAAGACAACCTGAAAGAAATATCCATGTTTTCAGTAAGCTATACAGTTCAATGTACAAAACTCGTACAAACAAATGAATTATTATGATTATAACCCCCCCCCCCCCCCACCCCCAACTTTCTTATCCTACCCCTCCTCCTACTTCAACCTTAAAAGCAGACGGACACTTTGTGTTGTGTATACAGGAAGTCTGTGATGCCTTTGTTTAAAAGACATAGGCCTCTGGCTGTTCGAACTAGCCCAAAATGGGACTCAAGCTTTAGTCCTAGGAAGGGTCGGCGGCCGGTATTATGTTGATCACATCAGCCAAATACTGTCGATGGGTCCATACAGTCTAAGTCTAACATCATATACCTGAAGTATCATTGGCCTAACATGGGTCCTTGACTTCCGTGAACAAGTCGCATAGTGGCAGGACAAGATCGCAGATATTCAGGCATTTTAAAGAGCAGGTACTACAACACTTCCCTCAATGCTCAGCCTAGAAACGAACGTACTTTTTTTTCAAACAGGTGGCTGGGTCACACCTGGAGAATGGAGGACGACAGAGTCCCTACGGACAACCTCTATGGTGAAATAAGTACGGGTAGACGATGTCGAGGCCGACCTCTACTGTGATATAAAGATGTGTGCAAGAGGGAGATGAATTGTTTGTTTGTTTTGTTTTAGTATCCAGAAGCCATGAGTTGTTAACCCTTAGGCTCGGTATTATGGATATCGCAACCTTTCGGCCTGGATTCCATTGTAAATACCGTAAATCTGGGAGAAAATGTGGCTTTCCTGCCTACCCCCGGGATTGAACCCGGACCACAAGGAGTACGTCACCCGGTCTCCGCGAAATCCGGTTTAGCCAATTCCGCTAGAGAGCCGGGCAGGGAGATGAATAATACAGGTATTGATGTGGACCGCGTTGTATGTAGGAGGAATATCAGGAAGGGAATGAGAATGAAGGAGATGAAAGAATTGGGGATAAGGGAAGAAATGATTGCAGAAAAAAATGAGAACTGAGCGTCTGAAAAGAAACAGACTAAACACAAACGTTGACAACAATGGTCCTAAAATTCCCTGCTATAACTACGGAAGACTTTTCTAAACGTGGGCCGGTCTTGCCAGTCACACTCGTCATCGCCATTGGCTGTGAGTCCGACGCCTCCTCATAGCACAGTTTAGCACTATCCTCTAGAAAGACGGAAAGGTTTCAACAATCATATACATGGGAGCGAAGCCCCAGCGCACCTGTAACTTGTAAGGCTTTGTATTGCTATAGTTGCCATAGGCATTCCGATATTGTTGTCTGCGCTTGAAATGATTGGCAGCTGAGTGGACAATGATGATGGCGTCCATTTTGGAGGCGTTCTCACACTCATCACTTGTCGTCATCACTATCTCTGTTAGGTCGTCTGAGGCGTGGCTGCAGATCGAAGATATCGAAGTGTTAGGAAACATTGAAGGTTTATGCAGTTTATTATCATTAATGGCAATCGTGCATGTCTACGACTAACTTCACAATTTTATTGAATAATTTAAACAATGCAGGGGAGGAGCTGTGGCCTACAGACTAGCAGGCGATTCTGACGAGATGACTTTCATAGGTTCAAATCGGCATCCTTTCTGGTGTCCCATTATTTGGAGAGAAGCCATGGTTGGGATGGGAGGGGTGGATAGACCCTACTATATCAGACTCTTACCCTAACAAGCATGTTGTACAGGTCAACTAATTAGTCATGTTTCCTATGAAGTCGGAGTGCATCTGCCTGATGAAGGAACCAACAGTCGGCACACAAATTGTCCAGATTTGTAAAACCGATGTACACGCAAAAACAAGACAAAAGTCCTGAGATGGACAAACAAAAGTAACTTTCCGTCGTAGTAAACAGCTGGGGAACGCGAAGAAGAAAATGAAGATCAAATCCTCAGCTTGAAGGGAGACTAATGTTTTTGATCTTGGCTCTTGGGTACTAGGAAATGATCCAGAAAGTAACGACGGCCGGTATGATACTGACCCTATATCAAACCAAATTCAGACTGGTCTATAAAGTATGGAGTTACTATAGTAGACCTAAAGTTCGAAGAGTAGATATGGATTTTTTAGTTGCTTACAGACATCTACATTCATACATAGGGTATTACAACGGGCACTGGGATTACAAACATTATTTTTTGTTCAATAGTATAATATTATCATACTGAAAGGACTGAATGTGAAATAATGCCATGTTCGGACTGGAAAACGGGTTGGGGTGGGAGGGGGGGGCGCGGTGGAGTCCTAAAAAAATAGATAAAAACAGCAAACTAATTAAATAAATAAGGCATGAGCAATATCTTGAGATATATCATGAGAAGAAATTAGACATAGAAAATATCTTTAAATATATGAGGAGACAAAAGACTATATCTTTGGACATATGCGGAGAAATAGGACATAAACAATATCTTTGGACATATCATGAGCAGAAATAAGACACAATCCAAATATTTGAACATATAGAAAGAAATAAGACAGAGACAATATCTTTAGACTTATGCGGAAAAATAAGACAGACAATATCTTTGAACATATGAGGAGAAATAAAACAGAGACAATATTTTTGAACATAGGAGGAGAAATAAGACAGACAATATCTTTGACCATATAAGGAGAAATAAGACAGACAATATCTTTGACCATATGAGGAGAAATAAGACAGAGACAATATCTTTGAATATAGGAGGAGAAATAAGACACACAATATCGGTGACCATATGAGGAGAAATAAGACAGAGACAATATCTTTGAACATAGGAGGAGAAATAAAACAGAGACAATATCTTTGAAGATAGGAGGAGAAATAAGACATAGACAATATCTTTGAACATAGGAGAAGAAATAAGACAGACAATATTTTTGAACATAGGAGGAGAAATAAGACAGAGACAATATTTTTGAACATAGGAGGAGAAATAAGACAGACCATATTTTTGACCATATGAGGAGAAATAAGACAGACAATATCTTTGACCATATGAGGAGAAATAAGACATGCAATATCTTTGAACATAGGAAGAGAAATAAAACAGAGACAATATCTTTGAACATAGGAGTAGAAATAAGACAGAGACAATATCTTTGAACATATGAGGAGAAATAAGACAGAGACAATATCTCTGAACATATGTGGAGAAAAAAGACAGTCAATATCTTCGACCATATGAGGAGAAATAAGACAGACAATATCTTTGACCATATGAGGAGAAATAAGACAGATGCAATATCTTTGAACATAGGAAGAGAAATAAGACAGAGACAATATCTTTGAACATAGGAGTAGAAATAAGACAGAGACAATATCTTTCAACATATGAGGAGAAATAAGACAGCGACAATATCTTTGAACATATGAGGGGAAATAAGACAGAGACAAAATCTCTGAACATGTGTGGAGAAAAAAGACAGAGACAATATCTTTGAACAAATGAGAAGAAAAAAGACAGACAATATCTTTGAACATATTATGAGGGAAAATAAGACATAGACAATATCTTTGGACATAATATGAAGAGAAATTAGGCAGGCAAAACAAAAATAAAACGAACATTTAAACTTTTAGTTTTCAAAGGTTACAAATAAGGCGGCCAGGGCCGTCTTATATTAGGCTGTTTTAAGCACTTATTTTTCATACCGATGGGTAGATGGATGGACCAATCGACAGACAGACAGACAGACAGACAGACAGACAGACAGACAGACAGACAGACAGACAGACAGACAGACAGACAGACAGACAGACAGACAGACAGACAGACAGACAGACAGACAGACAGACAGACAGGCAGGCAGGCAGGCAGGCAGGCAGGCAGGCAGGCAGGCAGGCAGGCTGGCAGGCAGATAGATAGATAGATAGATAGATAGATAGATAGATAGATAGATAGATAGATAGATAGATAGATAGATAGATAGATAGATAGATAGATAGATAGATAGATAGATAGATAGATAGATAGAATAGATAGATAGATAGATAGATAGATAGATAGATAGATAGATAGATAGATAGATAGATAGATAGATAGATAGATAGATAGATAGATAGATAGATAGATAGATAGATAGATAGATAGATAGATAGATAGATAGATAGATAGATATATGATAGATAGATAGATAGATAGATAGATAGATAGATAGATAGATAGATAGATAGATAGATAGATAGATAGATAGATAGATAGATAGATAGATAGATAGATAGATAGATAGATAGATAGATAGATAGATAGATAGATAGATAGATAGATAGATAGATAGATAGATAGATAGATAGATAGGTAGGTAGTAGGTAGGGTAGGTAGGTAGGTAGGTAGGTACGTAGGTACGTAGGTAGGCAGCTAGGTAGATAGATAGATAGATAGATAGATAGATAGATAGATAGATAGATAGATAGATAGATAGATAGATAGATAGATAGATAGATAGATAGATAGATAGATAGATAGATAGATAGATAGATAGATCCTACCTGGGGTATTGAAGAATTTGCCCATCCTCTGGACAGCGAAAGATAACTCTAGGATGAGCAGACAGGTAGCGAATTGTCTCCCTTTGATCGCCTATGATTCTGTAGAGTTCTCTGACCGGCGGGTGGCCCTGGAATGTGATCACAAAACTGGCTGTCCAGTTACTGAAGATGATCACACACGAGAGGCAACAGAGAATGGCCAGTAGCAGCTGCGTCAACATCCGTAAACGAATCATCTGTAGTCTAGCCTGAGAAAAGTGTTTGTGTATATATATATCAGACATAAATTATATATATATATATATATATATATATATATATATATATATATATATATATATATATATATATATATATATATATATATATATACATATATATATATATATATATATATATATATATATATATATATATATCTATTAATCTATGTCTGATTTGTGTCAAACGTCGGCTCTATGGCTAAGTCGATGCGAACGCTTCGTAATGCCGAGATGCCGCTAATATGTGATCTTCTTTACGTCCTTTTCAGGACGTAATTTTTGTTATTTGAAGCCCCACTCTGGCTTTTGCCAGGGCCGCAATATAGCCAGGCCATCAATATGGCCAATTGTCTGAACTCAGGTTTCTGGGTCCTCTCCACGGTGATCCTCATCCACATGGTGGCACTTTGTGTCATCGGGTGTTTATCGCTTGTGTGATGTCCTAGTGGGGTAGAAAGTCAGTCAGTCAGTCAGTCAGAGATGCCGGGTTTCATTCCAGCTGAGGACCATGCGCCTTCCGTTGGTTTCTTCAGTGGTATCAAGAAAACCCACCGTCCAGAAAGCAATGGCAAACTACTGGACGTAAATTTGCCTAGAAAAACCATACAACAGCTAGGAGCTGTTGGGGTTGGTTCTGCAACGTCCTGTAAAGGATGCGCAACTAACTAACCTTGTGTCAAACATCAAATACTGTTGTATAATATTTACATACAGATGCCAGTAAAGTTTTATAAATCAATCAATCAATCAGTTGCCGTCTCCACATTGAAGGTTGGCTGCAATGGATCTCCAACACGCTCTGTCTCTTGTCCTGGTTGTTTACCCTCTCAGACTGCGGCCCGCCTATCTCTTGATGTTGTCCTCCCACTTGTATCGTTGCCTACTTCTTGCTCTCTTGCCTTCGACCTTTTCCTCCAGTATGTTTTTAAAAGTGTGTTATGTTTTTTTTTAAATGTGGCCCATGTACTTTAAGTTGTCTCTTTTGTATTTATTTCAGTAATTCTGTTTTGATTTGTAGTCTTTCCAGAACCTCCAGAACCTAAGCATTTTATAAAAACAACCATTCATAATCCGCCCCAATATGAGATTGTAAATTCTGGGGAGTTTGAACAGGGTATTTTATACCATCTTACCAGTATGTGACTGCAGGTACACCAGCCTGGTGTGACAGTTACAAGTTCCCCTTAAACTTTTTCTGAATTTCCCACTAACACTAGACAACAAGTTCCTTCCTAATCGGTGTGTGGTACTGCACTATAACTGTGCTATATACCTATACGGCTGAACAGAGTTTCTGGGATTTGCGGCTATTTGATTCTCATCTTTCAGATGTTAACTCCACAGAATGCAAATCTGGAGGAAGGAAACTTGAAACATAACAAATAACGAAGAAAGGAACTTCTCAAAAGGTTGCCCGCACGGCGAGAGTTCCTTCTCCTCCGACGCCGTCTGGAGGTGACAGGTTCAATTCCCGGCACGGTAACTATAGCTTTCGATATTTATGTTGTCTAGTGTGTTCTTCTATCTTTCTACTTCTTTCTATGAGTGCCGTTCACAATACTTTCTGTTACTTGATTAATCCTCCAAAGAAGTATTTCCTGTTCCATTTGGTCTACCATCCAGATTTAGATGTGTAATCTCAGGGTGGTCAAACTGTCAGGCAGCAACCCGCAGAGGGAAACATCAGGAGGAAGCAATTCAGAAGATGAATCAATATGTCCTTACCCGCACAGGACTACAGGCGGGTGTGGCCCATACGGGTGTCCCAAATTATAACCTATTTAAAGGTTGGACACGGTATCTTGGATTGATCCAGTTGGCTTGTCATCTAGATTGAGATTTGTATAATCTCAGGGTGGCGCGTTAGCACGGATGGGTATGCTGTTGATTTTGGGGAGGGGGGTGAAATGGGGTGTATACTTTATGATTGCCATCCGAAAGTTGGCTGCCTGAGTCACTAGGCCAATGTTACATATAGCAATCTTGGGGAGGGAAGGGAGATTGTTTCTTTAAAAAAAAAAAAATAATAATAATATTGGGGTAAATTTATAACTGCTTTGATCCAAGTTAGGGGGAAAGGGTGAGTTGGAGAGCACACGGTGCTCACACTTGCTGGTTTATCCCTGCTGGTGGAGACTTCACGTTACTTTCACACCGTCGGGGGCACTAACAATATATCTACTATATCTCAACCCCTACCAGGTCAGCCACCTAGACTTGTTCCGTAAATGAACATAGATGTTGTCAATATCTATCTTGCTGTTGTCTGTACATTGACGGTCTGCGGATGGTCAACGCTGGGGAGAAAGAAAAAGGTGGGGAGGCGCACTGTATGTTTAGATACTACTTTGTATTTTCTGATTTGGCATTTTGTAATGTAAAAGTGTAAAGCTTCAGTGAGTCAAGTGTCAGGCATGATCAAACTGAACGAAATAGCAGCACTCCATTCAACAGTCTTAAAAACATACTGACGTCATATCCCTTGTTGGCCGAACAGAACAAAGCACACACAATAGCACTACCTACAACCTTGGAACTGGGGAACAGGACTTGATTTGTTTACAGGTAAACAGTGTTATTATATCTATGAACGTTTAGTAATTGAACACAGTTGTTCTCTTTGAAGATATTGATCCATAATACACGCTGGGGGAAGCAATAAATCTTGCTTAGATTGAGTGATACGCTCGCTACCTGTTTAATAGATAGAGCATTAACTGGTATGCTAATGGTCCTGTGTTTGCGTCTGTGCCTTAGACGTTGTCAACAGGCTTCGTGTGCCGAGTTCGATCCCTTCTTCTTGTGGTGTTGGTAGTCATGTCTTGTCCACAGCCGTCTGTCTCGTCTCGTATACTTTCACAGAGGATCTTCCATACCATGATATCACACTGTATAGTATCCTCTCTCTCTCTCTCTCTCTCTCTCTCTCTCTCTCTCTCTCTCTCTCTCTCTGCCTCCCTTTCCTTCCAACTCTCCGATATACTCCAGCTTTCTCCTTTTGTTGGCTGTTTGGCAGCAGATCGCCTATTCTTGATTTCAACAGCGGTATCGAGCGCCGACTGAGCAGAAAGCAATGGCAAACTACTGAACGTAAAATTATCTACCAAAATCACAGCCAAACAAAAGTGCTGGGATTATTTTCTGTTAGTCCTCTACAACAACAAACATATGTCACTCTGGTCAGTTCGCCACATC